TTTGACCATTTAGAGAGAATGGATCAAAGTAGAATAACATGGAGAGTGTATAAGTCTGTAGGGGAAGGAAGGCGGGGTAGGGGTCGTCCTCGAAAGGGTTGGAGGGAGGGGGTAAAGGAGGTTTTGTGGGCGAGGGGCTTGGACTTCCAGCAAGCATGCGTGAGCATGTTAGATAGGAGTGAATGGAGACGAATGGTTTTTGGGACCTGACGATCTGTTGGAGTGTGAGCAGGGTAATATTTAGTGAAGGGATTCAGGGAAACTGGTTATTTTCATATAGTCGGACTTGAGTCCTGGAAATGGGAAGTACAATGCCTGCACTTTAAAGGAGGGGTTTGGGATATTGGCGGTTTGGAGGGATATGTTGTGTATCTTTATACGTATATGCTTCTAAACTGTTGTATTCTGAGCACCTCTGCAAAAACAGTGATAATGTGTGAGTGTGGTGAAAGTGTTGAATGATGATGAAAGTATTTTCTTTTTGAGGATTTTCTTTCTTTTTTGGGTCACCCTGCCTCGGTGGGAGACGGCCGACTTGTTGAAAAAAATTTAATTTAAAGGTTCATGCATGAAAAGATGTATTCTTAAGCAACCCACAGAATTCAGATGAAATTAGACAGCCTTTCAGTGCAATAGACCATTACTCAGGACGAACCAAAGCAATATCTAGTCTCATCTTTAATTTATAGATTACGTATGATTTGCTTAATCCACAGTAATGTGACTTTTATTCATGAAAAGGTCAAATAAGTTTTCTTTTAAGAGCAGGACAAATATACTATAATGCTGATTACATACCAAAAGAGAGAATGCTGAAAACAGCTGGATCAGTATTATTATCAGCACTAAGGTTAACGAAAAGACATTAAGAAAATATACATGGGGTTGTAAGAGAAGTAAATGCGAGGGTCTTGACAAGAGGCGTGGAGTTAAAAGATAAAGAACCACACATAAAGTGGGAGTTGTCACAGTTGCTCTTTGCTAATGACACTGTGCTCTTGGGAGATTCTGAAGAGAAATTGCAGAGGTTAGTGGATGAATTTGGTAGGGAATGTAAAAGAAGAAAATTAAAAGTGAATACAGGAAAGAGTAAGGTTATTAGGATAACAAAAAGATTAGGTGATGAAAGATTGGATATCAGATTGGAGGGAGAGAGTATGGAGGAGGTGAATGTATTCAGATATTTGGGAGTGGACGTGTCAGCGGATGGGTCTATGAAAGATGAGGTGAATCATAGAATTGATGAGGGGAAAAGGATTGAACTTTGTATAGAAAGGGGTTTAGTTATAGGTAATACATATTTTAAGAAAAAGAGGATAAATAAGTATACAAGATATGATGTAGGGCGAAATGACTGTAGTTTGTTGGATTATGTATTGGTAGATAAAAGACTGTTGAGTAGACTTCAGGATGTACATGTTTATAGAGGGGCCACAGATATATCTGATCACTTTCTAGTTGTAGCTACACTGAGAGTAAAAGGTAGATGGGATACAAGGAGAATAGAAGCATCAGGGAAGAGAGAGGTGAAGGTTTATAAACTAAAAGAGGAGGCAGTTAGGGTAAGATATAAACAGCTATTGGAGGATAGATGGGCTAATGAGAGCATAGGCAATTGGGGTAGGTTTAAAAATGTAGTGTTAGAGTGTTCAGCAGAAGTTTGTGGTTACAGGAAAGTGGGTGCGGGAGGAAGAGGAGCGATTGGTGGAATGATGATGTGAAGAGAGTAGTAAGGGAGAAAAAGTTAGCATATGAGAAGTTTTTACAAAGTAGAAGTGATGCAAGGAGGGAAGAGTATATGGAGAAAAAGAGAGAGGTTAAGAGAGTGGTGAAGCAATGTAAAAAGAGAGCAAATGAGAGAGTGGGTGAGATGTTATCAACAAATTTTGTTGAAAATAAGAAAAAGTTTTGGAGTGAGATTAACAAGTTAAGAAAGCCTAGAGAACAAATGGATTTGTCAGTTAAAAATAGGAGAGGAGAGTTATTAAATGGAGAGTTAGAGGTATTGGGAAGATGGAGGGAATATTTTGAGGAATTGTTAAATGTTGATGAAGATAGGGAAGCTGTGATTTCGTGTATAGGGCAAGGAGGAACAACATCTTGTAGGAGTGAGGAGAGCCAGTTGTGAGTGTGGGGAAGTTCGTGAGGCAGTAGGTAAAATGAAAGGGGGTAAGGCAGCAGGGATTGATGGTATCAAGATAGAAATGTTGAAAGCAGGTGGGGATATAGTTTTGGAGTGGTTGGTGCAATTATTTAATAAATGTATGGAAGAGGGTAAGGTATCTAGGGATTGGCAGAGAGCATGCATAGTTCCTTTGTATAAAGGCAAAGGGGAAAAAAAGAGAGTGCAAAAATTATAGGGGGATAAGTCTGTTGAGTATACCTGGCAAAGTGTATGGTAGAGTTTATTATTGAAAGAATTAAAAGTAAGACGGAGAATAGGATAGCAGATGAACAAGGAGGCTTTAGGAAAGGTAGGGGGTGTGTGGACCAGGTGTTTACAGTGAAACATATAAGTGAACAGTATTTAGATAAGGCTAAAGAGGTCTTTGTGGCATTTATGGATTTGGAAAAGGCGTATGACAGGGTGGATAGGGGGGCAATGTGGCAGATGTTGCAGGTGTATGGTGTAGGAGGTAGGTTACTGAAAGCAGTGAAGAGTTTTTTAACGAGGATAGTGAGGCTCAAGTTTAGAGTATGTAGGAAAGAGGCAAATTATTTCCCAGTAAAAGTAGGCCTTAGACAATGATGTGTGATGTCACCGTGGTTGTTTAATATATTTATAGATGGGGTTGTAAGAGAAGTAAATGTGAGGGTCTTGGCAAGAGGCATGGAGTTAAAAGATAAAGAATCACACATAAAGTGGGAGTTGTCACAGTTGCTCTTTGCTGATGACACTGTGCTCTTGGGAGATTCTGAAGAGAAGTTGCAGAGATTGGTGGATGAATTTGGTAGGGTGTGCAAAAGAAGAAAATTGAAAGTGAATACAGGAAAGAGTAAGGTTATGAGGATAACAAAAAGATTAGGTGATGAAAGATTGGATATCAGATTGGAGGGAGAGAGTATGGAGTAGGTGAATGTATTCAGATATTTGGGAGTGGACGTGTCGGCGGATGGGTCTATGAAAGATGAGGTGAATCATAGAATTGATGAGGGGAAAAGGGTGAGTGGTGCACTTAGGAGTCTGTGGAGACAAAGAACTTTGTCCTTGGAGGCAAAGAGGGGAATGTATGAGAGTATAGTTTTACCAACGCTCTTATATGGGTGTGAAGCATGGGTGATGAATGTTGCAGCGAGGAGAAGGCTGGAGGCAGTGGAGATGTCATGTCTGAGAGCATGTGTGATGTGAATATAATGCAGAGAATTCGTAGTTTGGAAGTTAGGAGGAGGTGCGGGATTACCAAAACTGTTGTCCAGAGGGCTGAGGAAGGGTTGCTGAGGTGGTTCGGACATGTGGAGAGAATGGAGCGAAACAGAATAACTTCAAGAGTGTATCAGTCTGTAGTGGAAGGAAGGCGGGGTAGGGGTCAGCCTAGGAAAGGTTGGAGGGAGGGAGGTAAAGGAGGTTTTGTGTGCGAGGGGCTTGGACTTCCAGCAGGCATGTGTGAGCGTGTTTGATAGGAGTGAATGGAGACAAAGGGTTTTTAATACTTGACGTGCTTTTGGAGTGTGAGCAAAGAAATTTTTATGAAGGGTTCGGGGGAAACCGGGCAGCCGGGCTTGGTCCTGGAGAGGGAATACTCCCTGCACTCTGAAGGGGGGGTATTTTTTGCATTTAAAAACTGTAGGAAAAGCACCCTTTCTGGAAAGACGTGATGAGTGAATGTGGTAAAAGTTTTTTTTTCGGGCCACCCCCCCTTGGTGGGAATCGGCCAGTGTGATATAATAATAATAAAAAAAGGGGAGTGGTACCTAGGATCTGTGAGACAAAGGGGGGAATGTATGAGAGTATTTTTACAATGTCTTTAGGGGTGTAAAAGCATGGGTGATGAAAAGTTGCACTAGGGGAAGGGTGGAGGCATGGGGATGTCATGCTGAGGCAAAGGTGGTGGTATAAAAGCGAGATCGTATTTGGAATTAGGGGGAGGCGTGGGATTTCTAAAACTGTTTTTCAGAGGGCTGAGGAAGGGGTTTTGAGGTGGTCGAACATGTAGAAGAATGGACGAAACAGAATGACTTAAAGAGTGTATCTGTCTGTAGTGGAAGGAAGGCTGGGTAGAGGTCGGCTAGGAAATGTTGGAGGGAGGGGGTAAAGGAGGTTTTGTGTGCAGGGCTTGACTCCAGCGGGTATGCGTGAGCGTGTTTTGATAGGAGTGGAATGAGACAAATGGTTTTTAATTACTTGAACGTGCTGTTGGAGTGGTGAGCAAATTAACATTTATGAAGGATTCAGGGAAACCGGCAGGCAGGACTCGAGTCCTGGAGATGGGGAAGTACAGTGTCTGCACTCTGAGGCGGGGTGTTAATGTGCAGTTAAAAACTGTAGTGAGTAAACCACCCTTTACTGGCAAGACAGTGGATGGAGTGAATGATGGTGAAAGTTTTTCTTTTTCGGGCCACCCTGCCTTGGTGGGAATCGGCCAGTGTGCTAACAAAAAAATAAATAAAATAGTACCTCGGGTTTACGAACAGCTCCAACACGCGAACAGTTATGTAATGTATGTATGTAAGCGCTTTTTTTGTAAGTGTATTTCTGGGCCCTGAATGCATTAATCTAATTTACATTATTCCTTATGGGAACAAATTTGTTCGGTATCGGCACTTGAACAGCCTTCTGGAACGAAATAAATTCATACCCCGAGGTACCACTGTATATGCAACACTGTGAAAGAAAGAAAAAACTATCAAAGCATTGCTTTTATCTGATCAAATAGATTATTCAACAACATGTTTAACCATATAATTGCCCCTCTATCAGGAATATGTAATGCTTTATTCAAAAATTTTATAAATTCAAGGAAAATTTAGTTAAATATATCTGCAAATACAGTGTCTATTACCTGAAGGAAACGAAGATGCTCCTTAAGTTGGTCAGGATTGTCCTTTAAATAAGCCTCGATGTGCAGAAGAGCACGAGAATATGCTTGGCACTTAAATGATGTTTGTGCTAAAAGGTTAGCAGGAATTTTCTCAAGGAAACTGGTCACCTAGGAGTAAAGAAGGACACAAGTAAGTTGTTGAATTTACAAAGTGATTTGGCCTACAAAGTAATTCAGTGATTTTGAGACTAAAAAGTTAAAGACAGTGCATCCACACAATTCTTTTTACATGCCTCCCCCCCCCCTTTCTCATAAGCAACTGTTTCCAGCATTTCAGTCTTACTATTCCAGCCAAAAATACCTGTTGGAGCTCTGCTGATGGTGTAAAAGCTCCTCGACCCTTTTTTCCAATGTTTTCAGTCTGCCTTTGCTTCTGAACCCATTTGCTCAAGTAGTCTAGGGCTGAGAATACAGTCTGAACAGCTAAATGCCTGCATAAAAAAGAAACAATTAGCTTACAGAAGACATGCTAAAATCAACTCAACAAAATGAAAAAAAAAAAAAATTGAAAAAAAAAAAAAAAATGAAATACTCCATTAACTGTTTTAATGCGTGTGTGTTGCTGCCATGAGTACATTTCATCTTGAAACTTGCCAAAATATTTTTTGTATAAACATGATGATGCATGACTCACGAAATCGTAATGACATGATTGCAAACAAACCATACCACGGGTTCAATTCCCGCCCGTGGTATGGTTTATGATGATGCATATATGCAAGAAAGAATTATAGCTTCTTTGAACAAGCACTATAGTGTTTTGTCTCTAAATAATTTTTTTTATATCTTACTACTGAAGCACAATAACAATTACTCTACTATAGCATTCCTTAAAAAAAAAAAAGTGAGAGAGGGAATTACTTGAACTCTGAGGATGGAGCAAGTGAGTCTTCTTTCTTCTGTTTTTCCTGCATTTGACTCATAACAGCAAGAATCTCAGTTATTATTTGGTCATGGTGGTGAGCCGATTCCCTAAGCACACAGACAAGAATAGATGGCAGAAGGTACATGGCCGTTGTTGTGTATCTACGGAGAATTGGCTTGCATACACTGAACACCTGTAAAAGAAAAAGTATACACCTACCATCCGACTTACGACCGAGTTCGGTTCCAAGAAACCGGTCGTAAGTTGAAATGGTCATAAGTCGAACTTTACTACTGAATATCAACAAAACATTTTTGTAATGACTTTATTTTATTGTTTTATTTTGGTATTTCATGTTTTACTTTACTTTTTATGCTGTTAGTACTGTATTGTATTACTGTAAGGTTTAGGATAAACACTGTGTACAACACAAATTGTTGTTTATTTCCCGGAAATTTGGCATAAAAAACACGGTCGTAAGTCGAGTGGTCATAAGTCGAGCAGGTCGTAAGTCGTATGGTAGGTGTATTCCAACATACAAATATTTTATTAATAGTTTAACTTGGCACTTTACTTCTGCGATGAATCGTATGTCACTTCACAGACAGTAATGCCAAGGGAAGCACATTACACAAGAACATATAAAACACTGATAAGAAACAAAAAGTCAAGGCAAATTTAAATACTAGATATAACAACATCAGTGAAGTTGAAGAAAAGTTTCAAAATATACATGCTGTACATGAAAGATCTAAATATACATGATAGTTCACCAGGAAATGACTGATTGAGAGCAGTATCCCACACTGCTGGAACTAGGGCAGCACACATTCATGTCTAACATCTGTAAAATACAACATTGGATATATAAATTTTCTAAATATATTCTTCTTTTTCTTCAACACCCCGGCCGTATCTCACCGAGGGGGGTGGCCCAAAAAGGAAAAAAACGAAAGTTCCCTTTTACATTTAGTAATATATACGGAAAAAGAGGTACAGCCCCTTGCTCCCGGCTTTTATTTGCCTCTTACAACAGCATGGCTTCGGAGGAAAAATTCTGTTCCATTTCCCCCATGGAGGTAAAAAAAAATAAACAAAAACAAAAAACTGTAAAAAAAAATGGAAAAAAACCCAGAGGGGGTGTTATACATACAGTTTTGTACGTTTGGGTAGTGTGACCTAAGTGTAATAAAGTGCAGATGTACCTGAAACTTTGCATTTTTATGAACAAAAAAAAGGGCCCCACAATCCTACATCATGTAAAACAATTACAGGTTTCCGTTTTACATCACTTGGGGAGGACGGTAGTACCCCTGGGGGTTTTCTGTCAATCAACCCCTACCTGGGAAAATATAAATATATAAAATGGGGAAACAAATGGGGAATCAAAATTCAAAAAATGGGAATTGACACAGTTCTTTTGCTGTGATACTGTGCTTATGGGGGTTCTAAAAAAAAAATTTCAAAGGTTGTGGATGATTTGGGAATGTGTGTAAAAGGGAGAAAGTTGAAATGACTAGAAAAAAGTAAGGTGTGAGGGTGTCAAATATTTTGGATAAAGAAAAATTGGATATCAAATTGGGGGGGAGGGTAGGAAGAAGTGAAGTTTTCAGATATTTGGGGTTGACGTTCGGCGGATGGATTTATGAAGGATGGGTTTAATCATAGAATTGATGGGGGAAAAAAGGGATGGTGCGTGAGGTTATGTGGAGAAAAAAAACGTTATTATGGGGGCAAAGAAGGGTATGTATGAAAGTATAGTAGTCCAACCCCTTTTTATGGGTTGGGCCGGGGGTGTAAATCAGCAGCGAGGAGACGGTTGGGGGCATGGGATGCCCTTTTTTTAAAGGGCAATGTGTGGGTAAATATTATGCAGAAAATTCGGAGTGGGAAATTAGGAGAAGGGTGGATTTAATAAAAGTATTGTCGGGGGAAAGAGGAGGGGTTGTTGAGGGGGTTTTTGGTCTTTTGAGAGAAGGATAAAGTAAAATGAAGGAAAAGCTATAAATCTATGGGGGAAAGGAAGGCGGGGGGGGGTCGTCCTCAAAAGGGGTTGGAGAGGGGGTTTTAAAGGGGGTTTTGGGGGGTAAGGGGTTTGGACTTCCAGCAAGCGTGCGTGAGCGTTTTAAATGGAGTAAAGGGAGCGAAGGGTATTTGGGGACCTGCGTCTGTTGGAGTGTAGCAGGGTAAATTTTTAGTGAAGGGGTTAGGGAAACGGTTTTTTTTATTGCGGACTTGAGTTGGGAAAAAGGGGTCGCCTGCTTTAAAAGGGGGGGGGTTTTGGGGGGGGGCGTTTGGGGGTAGGGTCATGTGAGTTCTAGCGTTTTATTTTAGCACCTCGCAAAAACGTGATTAATGTGGGGGGGAGGTGGGGGAAAGTGGAATGATGAAAGAAAGTTATTTTTTTTTTGGGGTTTTTTTCTTTTTGGGTCAATGCCTCGGGGGGGGGGGGCCGACTTTGAAAAAAAAAAAAAAAAAAAAAAAAAATAAATTTTTTATTATTTTTTTTATCCACCGGGATTCCCCCCAAGGCAGGGTGGCCCCCGGGAAAAAAATTTCACCCCCTTTCACCACAGGGGCAGAAAGGGGTTTTACAAATACATTTTTTTAAACGCCCCCTTTAACAACCCCTCCCAGATGCAGGCACTTATTCCCCCCAGAATAAAAGGGGGGTTTTGGGAAAACCCTTTTTTGTTTCTTTGCTCACATCCAAAAGCCGTCAAGTATAAAAAACCATTTGTCTCCATCCTCTATCAAACACGTCACGCATGCCCGCTGGAAGTCCCAAACCCCTGCACCAAAAACCCCCTTTTTCCCCCCCCCCCCAACCCTTCCCAGGCGCCCCTACCCCGCCTTCCTTCCATACAGATGATACACTCTTGAAGTCCTTTTGTTTCGCCCCTTCCTCACATGTCCGAACCACCTCAACAACCCTTCCTCAGCCCTCTGGACAACAGTTTTGGTAATCCCGCACCTCCTCCTAACTTCCAAACTACTAATTCTCTGCATTATATTCACACCCACACATTGCCCTCAGACATGACATCTCCACTGCTCCAGCCTTCTCCTCGCTGCAACATTTCATCACCACGCTTCACACCCATATAAGAGCGTTGGTTAAAACTATACTCTCATACATTCCCCTCTTTGCCTCCAAGGACAAAGTTCTTTGTCTCCACAGACTCCTAAGTGCACCACTCACTCTTTTTCCCTCATCAATTCTATGATTCACCTCATCTTTCATAGACCCATCCGTGACACGTCCACTCCCAAATATCTGAATACGTTCACTCCTCCATACTCTCCCTCCAATCTGATATTCAATCTTTCATCACCTAATCTTTTTGTTATCCTCATAACCTTACTCTTTCCTGTATTCACCTTTAATTTTCTTCTTTTGCACACCCTACCAAATTCATCCACCAATCTCTGCAACTTCTCTTCAGAATCTCCCAAGAGCACAGTGTCATCAGCAAAGAGCAGCTGTGACAACTCCCACTTTGTGTGTGATTCTTTATCTTTTAACTCACGCCTCTTGCCAAGACCCTCGCATTTACTTCTCTTACAACCCCATCTATAAATATATTAAACAACCACGGTGACATCACAATCCTTGTCTAAGGCCTACTTTTACTGGGAAAAAATTTCCCTCTTTCCTACATACTCTAACTTGAGCCTCACTATCCTCGTTAAAAACTCTTCACTGCTTTCAGTAACTACCTCCTAAAACCATACACTTGCAACATCTGCCACATTGCCCCCCTATCCACCCTGTCATACGCCTTTTCCAAATCCATAAATGCCACAAAGACCTCTTTAGCCTTATCTAATACTGTTCACTTATATGTTTCACTGTAAACACCTGGTCCACACACCCCCTACCTTTCCTAAAGCCTCCTTGTTCATCTGCTATCCTATTCTCCGTCTTACTCTTAATTCTTTCAATTATAACTCTACCATACACTTTACCAGGTACACTCAACAGACTTATCCCCCTATAATTTTTGCACTCTCTTTTATCCCTTTGCCTTTATACAAAGGAACTATGCATGCTCTCTGCCAATCCCTAGGTACCTTACCCTCTTCCATACATTTATTAAATAATTGCACCAACCACTCCAAAAACTATATCCCCACCTGCTTTTAACATTTCTATCTTTATCCCATCAATCCCGGCTGCCTTACCCCTTTCATTTTACCTACTGCCTCACGAACTTCCCCCACACTCACAACTGGCTCTTCCTCACTCCTACAAGATGTTATTCCTCCTTGCCCTATACACGAAATCACAGCTTCCCTATCTTCATCAACATTTAACAATTCCTCAAATATTCCTTCCATCTTCCCAATACCTCTAACTCTCCATTTAATAACTCTCCTCTCCTATTTTTAACTGACAAATCAATTTGTTCTCTAGGCTTTCTTAACTTGTTAATCTCACTCCAAAACTTTTTCTTATTTTCAACAAAATTTGTTGATAACATCTCACCCACTCTCTCATTTGCTCTCTTTTTACATTGCTTCACCACTCTCTTAACCTCTCTCTTTTTCTCCATATACTCTTCCCTCCTTGCATCACTTCTACTTTGTAAAAACTTCTCATATGCTAACTTTTCTCCCTTACTACTCTCTTTACATCATCATTCACCAATCGCTCCTCTTCCCTCCTGCACCCACTTTCCTGTAACCACAAACTTCTGCTGAACACTCTAACACTACATTTTTAAACCTACCCCATACCTCTTCGACCCCATTGCCTATGCTCTCATTAGCCCATCTATCCTCCAATAGCTGTTTATATCTTACCCTAACTGCCTCCTCTTTTAGTTTATAAACCTTCACCTCTCTCTTCCCTGATGCTTCTATTCTCCTTGTATCCCATCTACCTTTTACCTCAGTGTAGCTACAACTAGAAAGTGATCTGATATATCTGTGGCCCCTCTATAAACATGTACATCCTGAAGTCTACTCAACAGTCTTTTATCTACCAATACATAATCCAACAAACTACTGTCATTTCGCCTACATCATATCGTGTATACTTATTTATCCTCTTTTTCTTAAATATGTATTACCTATAACTAAACCCCTTTCTATACAAAGTTCAATCAAAGGGCTCCCATTATCATTTACACCTGGCACCCCAACTTACCTACCACACCCTCTCTAAAAGTTTCTCCTACTTTAGCATTC